GAGCGCAGTAATCGCCCAACACTGTCATTTCGCATGCAAGGATTCTATGACTGGTCCACTTGGTGCGCATTGCACCCGCTAGGTGCGTTGTTTGCGCGTCCGGAGTCTGCATAGAAAAGAGTAGAGACCATTCGGTGACTTCATTCAGAGGAATGGAGGCTCCCATTTGAAACTCGGTTTTCCGACCATTGAGTTGGGGCTGGAGGCATTATGTACATGTTCGGTTGGAGACACCTGTTGATATTGACAATATCCGCCCTCAAATACGTTTACAATGAGAGTTCCTTTGTCACTTTTTCTTGAGCCCCTTTCGATCATGTTGTTATTCCGGAGGTGTAGTAAAACCATGGCATATTATCATTTGCGTTTTGTTTCGGTTTTTGCCTTTTATACGTATTTCCATTTGAGTTGTACCAGGAAGAAAGTGTATAAACAAATTAGATGTGTACAGTGAGTGCATACTTATAGTGTTGCAGGCATGCTTCCGATTTATATGAATTGGAAATCGCCACTGGTAGTCGCTTAGTTCACACACTTCACACTAGCTCCATATGACCAAAGCAAAATATCGGACTTTCAAGCAGGGAATTTAAAGCAAAAAAACCAACCGACGACTGATAATCACCCAGCTGGAAGAAGTAAAATTAGAGTTCATAGGTGCACCGGTTGAAAAGAAGAAAAGAGGGACCGACAGTGTTGTGTCCCACAGCGAATAAATCAACAGAAATCGAAAAGGAAACAGTTTTCAGAGCAATGAAAGTGGCACGAACGAATGAAAAAATGCGCATTGTTTTGCTCCTTATAATATTGATTGCAAACAACGAGTCACTAAAAGAAGTCAGCTACCAAACCAATAAGTGGCAGATATTGGTCGATAGGACCTCTAATGTTCCAGTCTATGGTGTCTGTTGACTGCACTGCAACAAAGTGCGCACGTTGAGGTATTTCAGTCTAATTGATGACCCAAGGCTCCAAATATAAGCGGTTGAACTGAGTTTCTCCGCTCCTTTGGATCTGGACCTGTCGAAGAACTGAATCGAAGCCTTGTTAGTGCATGTGAGCCCAAACCAGATGGCAAACGCATGTCAGAACAAAAAGTAGAAATCCAAACGTTGGGGGCAGTGATCTTGCATGCGGCATGGTGGGATGAAAAGTGTGAGGGGGAATAAGGAACGGGGAATGTTGAACTGTAGCACCATCCCTACACCACGTTCGAGACAGCAACTATGGTATCTTTTATTATTCTTTGCGACGACCAAAACATCAGGAACTCAATTACATAGTCATTGTATACGTTTACTGGGTGCTTTCAAGTTATCCAGACGTAGCCAAAAAACCTTTCAGGTTCTCAATCCTAGCATTTGGTTCAAAAACCTAATCACAATGCATCGATAGTTTCGCTGGGGGCCGGGAGTAATCCGTCTTTAAGAGTAAGTAGCCGCCCTCTTTCCAATCAAAATCTTGGAGGACCAGAAAGTTGTTTGTCCGACATGTTACCATTATTCAACCCAACTGAGGCACTCCGGGTGCAAGAAGTACCATACCGTACAGCTGAATGAATCGTTGCTGCACGCAAACCGCAGCACGTCAAGGCTAGGTCTCGTCGCGATCAAGATGTTGCTAGGTCATCTGCAGAAAGCTAGCCTGGACTGAAGTGGATCACATCACCATTAAGAATAGATAGTGCACGCTAGTTCAGGAGCATTGTTTGCTTTGCAGCAGGCATGGATACAGTTGATGCATGACACCAAACTACAAGATAGTCCAAAGAAAGGTTAGGGTAGGCTGGCACTTTGTCTCCATAGGTATGGTTCTCTGGATGGGCACACGCACAGTTCCATCCTTTTATTTGCTCTCTTATTTCTACCTGTTATGTTCATCATTTATCTCTCCTTATTCCTGTCTGGCAAGTACCTCTTACTCACTTAAATGCATTGTTTATCAGCCTGATCATTATCGCTGTCATCACTATTATTATTATTAATATTGTTAGTATTATTATGGCGTTTATCAAACTAAATAGGTCCACGGAGGTACCTTTTGAACACCAACGGTGCACACGTGTTTTTGGGAGTGTTGTTCTCCAAAACTGTTTTTTATTGAGTTTTTACCACGAACGCAGAACGGATTTTTAGGGCACCTTTCATCAACATCTTTTTCTACTTATAACGTGTTTTCATATTTTCGGGAATGTTTTGCTTCAAATATCCTATTAGACCTTGGTGACGGCAGTGGCACTAACAATAGCAATGTCGTCGCTAATGTTGACGATGATGTGTGCTTTTTCGTTAGCATCATCCGAATAGACCGCGTGCTTCTTTTTTACGATAACCATTGTCCAAGAGGCGTATTGCTTTACACTGCTGGCCTGTAGCCTAAAGCTAACAAGCTTATCTTGTTATCTGACTGCGCGATTTCGAGCCTACATAAGGATAAGGCGACCCTCGCGGTATCTTTACCCCACGCGCAACTGGTTGTGGTTGCACGGGTGCGAAGCGTCGGTAATGTCTACTGACGTATTGCTGATGTCTTGCTTTACACCCGCACGTTTTCTCCATTCCTGAGTAGCCCAACCTTTCTCCTTGCAACTATGTTCTAAATAGTTTTTGTGGCTTAGCCTCTCAACCACGCTAGGATCGTTGCTCGGAGCATTCGAGCCGCCATACACGAGTCCCAAAATGTCTCGGTAATTTCTGTTTATGAGCGGATATTTTTGGACAGTTTTTTAGATCGGCCTAAAGAGCATGAGTGCAATCTGAAAACGAAACCAGCTGAGCTAGCAGAGGAAGTTGGTTGTTTTGCTTCGCACAACACTTGACAGGTTTCTATTCGGGAGAATGATGTACGTCATTCTTCCGTTTTCACTCAGTACAATTCTAACAAGAAGGAAGGCAAACCGGTTGCTGGAGATGGTTGTCTGGTAAGTCTATCCTAATTACTAGACTCTGTAGGAGAGCTTGTCAACTTTAGAACTTCTTCCAGTGTCGGCTCTTATAGCACGTTGGGAACAGCTGATGGCTACCAACCGTTCAGAACACCTACAAAGCTCACTTGTCAAGGCAAGTGTTTACTGATACACTTCATTGCGTTTCAGCTTGCGCTAGTTAAGACGTTTTCTATAATTTCGACGTTATGCATAAGTTTTCTCGTTGAGTATCCGCTCACTCACTGTTGTACGTCCGAACCGTATGTTTCCTCTACACAATGTCTGACGTAAAACTGATTCTGTAATTTCAGTCTATTTGCACTGCTTTATCTTGTTCCGCGTATAACTTTAGACCGTGTTAGCACGAAAGAACTGCCCTACTACTCTAGCTGCAGGATCTCTGCTACGGTTGCTTGCATATTTGATTGCACTTCCTTCGACACTTGTAACCCTGACCCAAGTCGGATGGTCATTACTGCCAGTAAAGGTTCCCATACTGGCTTTCTAGGTGGACTATGGTGCAGCCAGCGCCATATTCACCTATACAGTCGTTAGCTCAATCAGCGGAAAATCAGATATTGTTCGTACCACAATGATCACTACGCAAATGATCAATGCTGCCGTGAAGCTAAACTACACGCGATAGCGTTATGCGAACAGTTATTTCTCTCGGTTTGTTTATGAACACTTTCTTTGTGACTCAGCGTGTTCTGCTAAATGAATCGGCGTGGTAAACAGGCACTTCTCTGAGCCACGAAATCCCTTTCATTCTGGATCCACGCGGTGGGTCAAGGAGACACAGCTAGCAACTTCACTTAAGGAATGGTTGCTTTGTCTGCCCACGATGCAGCATTTAGCCGGTTTTTGGATCACATGTTTGATCATCGGCTTTAATTGCTATTTGTTCGCGCACTCACGGCTTTCATCATTTCCACCTATTTCGTCTGTTCTCTGCCCTATGGCCTGCTTGCTATCTTCTCTTATCCGGATTACCTGGATTATCTGTGTGGTAAGGTTGATAACGACAGGGGATAGTGAGGGCCGCAAGAAAACCTCTTTACTGGTACTGTCTTCGCAAACTACCAGCTGTTCGCAATGTAATTATTCTAATCCGTGGTAAGTATGTACCTTCAGTACTCCTTACTCACTAAGGTCGCATTTTCATCAACATCTACACGACAGCATTTTCAACATAATGTTCTGATGTGTTTGCTCTTGATGGTTATTTTTACAGTTGTTGCTCCTTGATGTACCTTACCTATTCTGCCCAATGGCAGCCCGTCTACGTTGCATCCATTTTACTTATTGAAAAGCGTCCACTATTGTACTACTGCCATCTCGTTCATAGAACAGCTCAGTGCATAAGTGCGACATCCCTCATTTTCGCTGCTAGTTTCCGGCGTATTCATTAAGTCTGACTACAAGTTGTGGATGATGATGCTCAGATCCTGTCAAGAATATGCTTTGTGCACCTGTTGCATGTAGATATTTACGCCACGGATGTGTAATACATCAGCTTTTAGGAAAGTTTGCAGGGCTAATATCACTGAATCCCGTCTAACCAATTAGTAATTCACTTACAATTTTAATATCTTCGTCCCAACAGCTCACCTGCTTACTCACTTGTGCTAGTGCTACTGATTCGACGCGTGCCGCACCCCGCTGTTGAACTAAGACTTGGGTATCCAGCCGTCTTGTCGCATCCTTGGTGTCTGAGTAGCATCATGTTCTATAGTGGAACAAAACGTTGAGCTCATCACGGTCATGAAAACCGCACCTTACTCTCTAGCGAAGACCGGCAGTAACTTAAGTAGTTGCGGTTACTGCGGTTGACTGCCAAACACACACAATCATCAAGGACATTATTATGTTATATACTAGTATCCTTGATGATTGTGTGTGTCTGGCCGCCGATCGCAGTAATCGCTATTCTTTAGGTTACTGTCGGTCTTCGCTAGAGATTAAGGTGCGGTTTTCATAACCGTAAGGAGCTAAACGTTTTGTTCCGATATGGAACATGATGCGACTCAGAGAAATGCAGGATTGTCTGATAAGCACCGTTCTCACATGAGCTATGTGCCGACAACTTGCACGTATGCCCTAGCGGCATAGGTTGTGTTTTAGGTCTCATCGTTGTCTCACTATCTCACCTATCAACGAGTGACATGTTTGTCGCTGGAGCTTAGTTTGTTTCCGAGTTAACAGTGTTCCCTATGTGTACATATCCACATTATCCCTTCGGACACAAGCTAGCCATTAGGATGAGTAGTCTGATTCGTTGATAGCCATTCCTGCGACGTTCCACGAAGATCCACAGTCGTTTTATTGGTCCTTAGAAGGTTATATAGCACTTGCAACTAAATACTGGTCGTCCTTCTGACTCAAGCAATCATGGTGGTTAGTTGTACAACTTCCATCTCTTCAGAAGGCTAGCAGTTCCATGCACTGGAGCAAAGTGACGTTAGCGTCAGATTCACCACGTCAGGCCTACCCGATGCAACATAAACTATTGCATAACTGTGCAGACCTAGCTTTCTCTCTATCATGTTTGCGAAGTTAGCGATTTCTAACATGGTGATGCAGTACTGTGTTAGTCGCGATCTACCTCCGTCGTTTACCTACTTCAGATACAACCTTGATGATCAAACTGCTTGTTAATTCTTTTCTAGGGAATCATGTTTCATGATCCCTCACATGAACAATGGGTGCTACAAATCAAACTGGGGAACCAACTTTCAAACCATGGCTGGGATTGTGCGCCACCTCACAGTAAACTCAACAGTCTCGTTATGCATTATGACAAACGTAGCTCGCATGACTCATTGTAGCGGAACTCGCCTTCGCCAGCAGTCTGTAGCTTACATCCTGGTTCGACCCGGTTTATTTCTTCCCAGAAAGCTCAAACGAAAACGAAACCGGTCTTGTAGAATTCGTAGAGAACTAGCTCCTGATACTTGTCCGCTTCATGTAACTGAGATGACCGGGGTTCACTTCATATAAACTGCGGTCTGACTTAGGATTTCGTGTCGCCACAAATTCATGCAATGACCACTTCACTATACCAGTCACTTTGTTCAATTTTGCATGCGGTATTTAGCCAAATGGAAAGGCGTAACTGGTTTGTTTCCGTTACTTATCAATCGTATTTCTGCTAACGGCCTAATTTATTTCGTTGCTTCTTCCTCCATCTGTATTCTGACTCTGAACTCATCTTTCGTTGTAAAAGACGCGGATTGCCCAATTTACTGGACGGACAGTCCCTAATGATAACAGTTATGGAAAATATCCCCCAGCGCTAACCCCTAAGCCCGGTCCCGCAGACGTAGCCAGGAGCACGCTTAGCCAAGCTGAACGGGAGCGTTTAGAGCGTCAGGTTGAACTGGAGGAGTTGAGACGAATGAGGCGCCGGCCTTTAGAAGAGATTCATCACCGTTGATGTGCACCATTCCTCCTCAGCCACCACTTTGAATTCGGTCAAATCTCCAAGAGTGAGTCCGAGTCCTCGCATCCATGGCTTTCCTTTACGTTTGCCTCGAGTGTTTTTCCTAGTTAAATTCCATTAATTTTTTAGACTGACGACTTCACTTTACCCCTTGCTCCGTCGCCTACTCGTGTCACGAAAACAACTGTTTGTGACACTGGCGCCGTCTCTCCGCCTCATGCGACACTCGAGGAGTTATCGAGAGATCATGATTCACCTGAAAATCCATCGCCATCACGCGAAACTGAGGTGAGTGTTTCGGAATTTATTGTCTTCCCTACAGTAGTGACAAACAAATCGGGTTACTTTAAAATATAGAGGATCGCCTAGCAACTCGACGGTACAGATAAACCAATATCCAAACGGAGACGACCGATACAGTGATGTCAGTTTTCTACATTTTAAAATATATTAAGTAGAGAATTCTGTCACGGATCTGTACATAATGCACTATCCTGTGCGTTGGAGGGGGTACAGGAGACATGCATGTCAACTGGTTTAAATTGGGTTCCAAGGGGTATATCATTAGAACCAATCAGACCAGTTTTCTCATAACTCATCAACGGGTGTGTATTAAGGTTCGGGAGTTCCGACACAAATGTGGTCTTCAAGAACTTGCTTAAAGTGGCGGGAAGCTCTGAAGTGGTGCTATAATGTTCATTGTTAGCGTGTGCGTACTTATAGCGTTGTAGCTGAGGTTAGAATGAGCGTTCGCCCTCAGCAAACACGCTGATTGCAGTCTACTTTGCTGGATACCAGTGAACAACATCATGTGTGTGGTACAACTTCGAACCTCTGTTGGGGCTAATAAAATCTGTCTGAAGACAAAGCACATTTTCACCTGCCCTACTGACTTCAGTTTGGATGGCTTGAAAGATGATTTCTATTGTCGGTTCTCATCTCTTCGCATGGCGAAAAATACTTATACCATGATTGTAACTGGTGACATGAATACCCAAGTGGGACCTTGAACAACATCTGGGTGGCTGCTTGGTGGTCGATGCACGCCGAACAGCCAATGGTGATCGATTCCGACAACAATTTCCGACCACAGTCGTTATGTTAAAAACACTGCTTTTCAGAAAAACATTAACATCGTGTAACATGGCGTCCACTGAATTTCTTGTTGGTCTTAACTCAAATTGGCCACCTTGCCGTCAGGATCAAATGGCGCACATGGGTTCAAGACTGTTACTTTAGAGCAAGTGCCCGGATTCCGACCATACACAAGTGTGTGCGCCTAGCGCTCACTCTTTCCATTTTACAGAAGCACCTAAATGTCATGCTTCTTACATATGATTTGAACTCGCAGTCCGCACTTTAAAAATATAAAGGCAAACTGGTCTCCAATTGTCCGTGGTGAATGGGATAGATGATTCGTCACAAGTATACCATAAACAATGCTTTTGACACTTGTTTTCCCAAATGTTTATGCATCTCTGACGCCTTGACCAGTTTGGTTGCAGCGCACAAACGGTTTCCAATGGGTACTGAGTTTCAGCGTGTCCGTAGCGCTCTGAAACGACGAGTAACAAGGAGTCTTCGCATTAAGCGGGAACGCCAGTGGTTAACGAAGGCCTGTGTGACGCCGGGAGCCATGGCTCTGGGTGACAGCCGAGTGCTGTTCCAGCTCATCCAGAACCCGTGTCCGAGGCAGTAGCTGAGAAAGTTGGACAGCTGGTCTATTCTGAGATGAGTGGATGGCCCTTTGGGCGGAACATTTTGAAGAGCAGTTCAGCAGGCCGGCTGCCACCCCTATGTTTGCTGAATCACCTGAGCTGAAAAGTTGGTGCCACAAATTTCACTTTGGAAAAGATTTAGCATGAGGTTGCCGACCTTCCTCTACGCAGAAAGATGGTGGTCGCTCCTTGTTGACTGGACTCACTTCTCTATTGAACAGAATTTGGAACAGTTAAGATGTACCGTCAGTCTGACGACTCTCAACCGTCTAGCCCGAATACAAAGAGTCGATGTACTTTGTACAGAAATCATCGAGGCGTTGGCTTTACTTCCATTACCTCCAAACTCCTCAACTGTGTCATTTCTCGACGACTTAATGGTCCTCTCGAGGGTCGGATAATTGACAATAAAGCTTATTTCCGCCCTGCTTGTCGTTTTATCGACCACATATTTACTTTTCGTCAAGTGTCATAGCAGAGACCCACTTACAGCCTACTGATTACGGTGAGTTTTTCTTGATCTGAAAGTCGCTTTCGGCTATGTTGGTCGAGCTAGCTTGTGGCATTCCTATTCGTGAAGGGAGTGCCTGAGAAATCCCTTTCTGTTCCGAAGTCTCTATCATAAATCTCCAGGTTGGGTAGAGGTCCACATAAGTTGTCTCCCGATTTCTCCACTTTAAATAGGGTTCGCCGGGATTGTGCTGTATCTCCTTTCATCTTTTTGCTCGAAATGATGCTGTTTTTCTGGATCTTCCGAAATGAAAATTGCATCAGGTGAAGGATGTAGATATCTTTGGGTCTGACGCAGTAGGTTTTCATAAGCTCCTGGGTAGGCTAGTTCGTAGCGCTTCGGCATGTGTTCTGCCCCTTCGAATTACATGGAAAAGAGATCTGGCCAGTTCTTAGTGAATTTATTAGACGATTGCTCGTTTTTTATTACTGGTACTTACGGTATATTGCTCTTTGGTGGGAACACAGAATGCACACTGCTGTGATCCGCTAGTTGGTGTCCGACAAGAAGCAGTCTGATACGTCATTCGTTGGCACGGTCTGTTTTCCATATGCCGTTTGACCGGCTTCCTCGACATGCATTTTGCGTCGTGGCTGCAACAAGTTGGGCGAAATCTCTAGCTGGCCAGTTGATGACGTCGCACAAAGGCATGAAGAAACTGACTGAGAGACTTTGCCAGGCTTTTGCATTCCTTGTTTGTTTGTGGAGACCTCAGAGGGATCCGCACCTGTGGCTAGAGACACCATGAGACATCGTGCAGTTAGTGGCTCTCCTGCATTCGGTTTCTTACATCTATATTTTAATTTTAATTTTATCCTGAATTAACACACTTCTTTCTTGCTTCCACATCCTCTCCACTCTGTTCTCGTTAAACCCCTTTGTACCGGTCTTTCTTGTTATTCTGGCGAAGTGGGTCGTGGCAATTGGATCTACTGCACTTCTTTGCTTGGATTATAGCTGTCTAAACGGTGCTTACTCTCTTCCACATTCCTCGTTTCCGGTGATTTGCCACAAGTGATACTTCAACTATGCTCCAGTTCACTCGGTCTGACGAACCTTTTGGGTGGAATTCTAAATTTCGTTGACAAAAAATACCAACTGTTTTGTTTCCGCTGACAGTACGGATAACCGATGCAGCCACTCTGGTCACGATACAGCCACTTCCCAAATCAAAAGACAAAGGCCTCTGGCGGAAATTGTATGGCGCACCTGGAAGACAGAATGTAGTGCAAAGATGCTGGGTCGACATAAATAAAGTATAAGTAACCCGCTAGCTGTACGCCTTGACGCCGCTTTGCTGCCGGGCGACGACCACCAGTCGCGCCTGGGCTGGGTATGCCGCGAGGAAGTCCGCCCCTACGTGGGTTCGAACCGGTGACCTTGGGGTTGCAAACCAGACGCGCGTACCACTCGGCCGCCGGCCGACGTCGAAATAAATATTCCGAGGAAAGACCAAGTTGAAAGTCCCTGACTATAGCAACTGCTAGATGCGCAAAATCCGTTAGTTTGGCTGAGCAAGTAGTGTGCATACTGGAGGGCATCAAGGTGTCGTTCTGATTGGTTCACTTCAAGGTAAAACTTTCATTAACTAGGCAATCGGCTACAGGCGGCGTATAACCAATATTCTCCGGGCTGCTCCAGACAGAGAGCTGGCTTCGTTGGCTGCGATGGACGGGCTCCGGTAACACCAGACTCTACTGAATTCACAGGTCCCCGATCGGTTCTAATCGTACCCCAGGTTTTTGAACGATTTTTGTGGTCGTTCGTTGCTATCGCTTCTGTTTCTTTGCGTATCCTATCCTCCGAATTGATTTTTGTTACATCCGTTGATTGTGTACGCAGCGCTTGTTGTTTCACACTTCTTCGAGTTATCAGGGGAACTTCAGCTGCTCACTTGTCAACGAATTGGCGGAACACTTTATTCTACCGATATTTTGGCTTCTGTGCTATTCTTTCACCATCGTAGTACAGTCGTCCCACGGGCCGTTCTTTGTTGGTTGCGTACGTCTGTCAGATGCTCTTTTATATACCCTCCGGCGAAGTATAGTCGATTTCGATTCTCCAATTTAATCTCCACTCGGACCGATTACTCTCACGGCACATCGTTCATCCAATAGTGTCGCTTTACGGTTTATCCTTCTGTTGTGTCACTTATATTAGCATCTAAACAAAAGGATGCCACTGATATTGCCTGCTTCCAGCGTGTGACGTGACGATAATTTAGCTTTACTAGACAATTAAGTGGTCCAGTTTGTCGTTCTCACGAAACACGTCAACGATCGACGTTGATGTCAGAAAACTTGACAAAGTTGCATCACATTATCTGTTCGTCACTCTCCATTACTGCACCTGCAACTTGATTCGACTGGTTGTAGCTAGTTTTCATTCGTTTGATCCGTTTGTAGGTATGAGCATTGAAGTTTTGCAGGTTTAGGGGTGTTCACACACTTCACTTTCGTTAACTTGTTATTAGCAATACTACACGGTTGTCGAGAATATGAGGATAGAAATGCGCGAGAGCGTGTTCCATGTAGCAGCCGTGTTCCCTCATAGAAGCGTGGAAGATGCAGTTGCCGTAACCCCTATTGCCAGGCTGGAAATTGAGGTGAAATCCTAATTACAGTACGGAATAAGAGGTTTTATAGATTAAGCATGGGCGGAATCTGGTTGGAAGGTCTAGAGATTAGCACAAGCGGATTAATGCAGGAGCTCCATCGACTTCACAGCTGCATCATCTCGTTTACGATCTCCTACGTTTAATGTGGATTACCCACTTGCGTTGTAATCCGGCGTTCACCGATTCGAGTCCACGTAGGTGCGAGCGACCATGCGGCCTATCAATTCCACCCTCGGCTGGTGGTGATTGCGTGGCAGCGAAGCATCGGTACGATATGCCGGCTTACGGCTGTTACCTTTCCTTTTAATGTAAATGATATCAAGGGCATCGTCCACCAGAATGACATGCATCAGCTTACCCAAGTCTCAGTCTCCGATTTCTTCATGCCCTTCTACTGCCTTTTTAAGTGACCACCGGGATATTTCGCCCAGTTTTGTTCCTC